TACAGCATAAATACGTAAGTCTCCATCCATTCCCTCCAGCTGCCATAGCACAGGCAGCCTCTCCAGCTCAGATCTCTTGCCTTTTACCCCTTCTCACCTAAAGGGAAAAGGCGGACCAAGAGGCAGGAGGTATGTGGAGGAATCTACTCCACCATTCTTCCCTTCAAGGATACAAGGAGACCAAATCAATGGGAACAACCAGACTCAAAAGTTTAGCTGTATTTTTACTTTTAATGTCTGATTAACCTAGAAAAGAAGCGTCGTGAGGCCTCCCAGGTGGCGTAGTGGGTTAAGCGCCACGCTGTGAAGCTGTCCGCAGCCTCTGCAGTGCCGGTTCGATTCCCAGCTGGCCAGGGAGATACCCACATGGTGCAGCAGACCTCTCCTGCCTCGCCTGCCGCTCCCCTCAGCAGTGCCTTCGGTCCATCTGCCTCTTCTGCTCCCCGCTCTGTCTCTGGTGAATTCTCTCACCCTCCCATGCCTCTGGCCTGTACCCCCATATTTGTATAAATAAATAAATCTTTAAAAAAAAAAAAAAAGACACAACCTATGAAGCTATCCGCAGCCACTGCAGCACGAGGTCAATCCCCAGCCAGGGAGCTACTCACATGGCGCAGCAGACCTCTCCTGACTCGCCCACTGCTCCCCTCAGCAGTGTATTTCTGTCAATCTGCCTGTTCTGCTCCCCACTCTGTCCCTGGTAAATCCTCTCACCCCTGGCCTGTTTTCCAGTTCTTGTATGCATAAATAAATAAATCTTTTTAAAAAAAAGCAGCAGCAGCTTTGTGAAATAGTCTTTAGTTTCCTTCCAAGTCTCCCACAGTCATTGTGAGAACTCTGAACACCTGCTAAATCCTTCCAGCATTCCTCTGAGCCTATGGGAGGTTTGAAGAGCACCCCCCAAAAGTAACCCTGTTGTATTCTGGGCATTATTTAAATAAGCAATTACTCAATCCCCACCATGACTTTTATTATGCAAAGAAGTCCAAAATCAGCTGATAGTGGATGATCGATGGAAGGCTAACAGAATGCAAACTGGCCCTAACACGAGTCCAGATGAGTCAGCTGAAAAAGGACAAGTTTTCCTGAAACATCATATATGGTGCTCCGAAACAAGTTACATTCTATTTAATCTAAATGAATGAACTCCTCATTCCCAAATATATGCAAATTACAAGGCTTGCTCTTCCCCCCAGAATGGCAAATGGTCCCACCACCGACTATCTATTATGTTTATGTATTACAATATTTTAGAGCACAGCCCATGGGCCAAACTAGCCCTCCACTTGTTTCTATACATTAAATGTTTGTAGAACAGGCCATACCCATTTATTTATATAAATGTTGTCTATTGCTGCTTCTGCAAGCTGAGTATCTACAAGGAGACAGTATGGCCTAGCCAGTCTAGAATTTTCACCACATGCCATTTAATAAGTTTGATGATCCCTGCCTTACAGAAGGCGCGCTGGCTAGGAAATGAGAAAGACTTTTATTTAAATCCCAGTTTCATAATCACTAATAGAAATTACCTCATAATTCCTGGTAATTTTGGTTATACCTCATGTGTAACATAAGGCTATCATCATCTACTTTGCAGAGGTATTATGAATATTAAGATTAAGACAGATAAAATCCCTAACACATAGCAAGCAATACATGGTAGCTATTAAACTGTAATTAATATCAAATACAAATTTGTCTACCATGTCAGGAAAGAATCAAATGTAAGGTGACTCACACTCCAATCAAATGTTTTTATTTTTTTTTCAAGTAATTAAACTTGGTTTTTTTTTTTAATTTATTTATTTATACAAGCACTCGGTACAGTCAGAAGCACGGGAGGGCGAGAGAATTCACCAGAGCCAGAGCGGGGAACAGAGCAGGCAGACTGACAAAATACACTGCTGAGGGGAGCAGCTGGCGGCAGGAGAGATCTGCGCGCCACGTGGGACCCTCACCCGCAGCCAGGGATCAAACCGGCACTGAAGAGGCCGTGGGCAGCCTCGCAGCCCAGCGCCCAACCGTTGCGCCACCAGGGGAGGCCCTATTAAATATGTTTTTAAATAAGACATTGTGCTGGCATTCACCTACATTCTGTTAAGAAAAAGAATAACAGGGCCTCCCCGGTGGCACAGCAGTTGAGCGCTGGGTTGCGAAGCTGCCCGCAACCTCTGCAGCGCCTGTTCAATCCCCAGCTGCCCACAAGGGTCCCACATGGCGCGCAGACCTCTCCTGCCGCCAGCTGCTCCCCTCAGCAGTGTACTTCATCCGTCTGCCTGTTCTGTTCCCTGCTCTGGCTCTGGTGAATTCTCTCACCCTCCCGTGCTTCTGACTGTACCCAGTGCTTGTATAAATAAATAAATAAATCTTTAAAAAAAAAAAAAAAGAAAGAAAAAGAAAAACAATACCCAAGTAGTATTGTTTTGGAAGGACAAATAATTTCCTTTATATACTCTTACCATTTTAGTCCTTAATTTAAATAATGTTTAAAAGCCAGGCCCAAAATTTTGTTTAATATAAAGTGAATCCCTTCAATCCATAAAATACAAAACATGCCAAATAAAACCTAAAATAGGCCTCAGGCTCTCAATGAGAAAACTTGATATACAATTTAGAAAAAGAAAAAAATGGAGGTGAGGGCCCTAAAAGGTAAGTTTCCAGATAAGCAATATTTGTTGAGAACCTACTACATTCCAGCTCTGAGCCCCAGGTGTAAAGAAAGCAAGTTGTTACCACACTTACAGAGCTCATAAGAAACAGGAGGAGGGGAAGGAGTATCTCAGCGAAGTGTAAGATTAGAACCACAAAACATGGCCCTGACTGCCAAGCCAAATATATTGTCATAGGAGATAAAAGAACTTGACACCTCCCAAGCAATTATCAAGCCAACCTGCACAGCACGCACAGGTAAAGCGACTTGCCAGTGGCTACAAGCAAGTCCCACAAGTTCTGTCTTCCTCACTTTTCTTTGCAGAAGAAATGACTTAGAAAATTTCTCTAAGAAATTTCTTTGTCTTAGAAGTGACTTCACTGAAGGATCAAGTCTTAATCTTTCAATCCTTTGTAACTCTGAACGTGCTATTCTGTGAAAAATTATCCTGTCTTCCAGACCTTGGATTCTTCGAAGCAGTATTACTACTATTCTTCTTTTGCCTTCCCACAGAACTGTGACTGTTACTGCTCACTATACTGTATTGTAACCACTTGTTTATCAGTTTCCTCCACCCACAGACTACGAACTCCTTGAAGACAGGAACCAAGCGTTGATAAAGACTGCTAATGTCTAAGTGCTTACTCGGTGGCACTTAGAGTGTAACTTTATACACACTGTCTTATTTAGTGCTTATCATTTTGATTACCCCAACATTACAGATGGAGAAACTAAAGCTTGAGAAGTCAGGAAAGGTCAACCAGTGTCGGTTACTTATTTAACATCTTACCTCAGCCCCATCCTTAACCTCCCCCTCCCTAACAGGAGTCTGACATTGCTCAAGTGTCCCCCTCCTTCATACACCATTCAGGGGAAGTTGAACCCCTTCTTCAAGAAGGTTTAGGAATCACAGGCACCTGTCAATTTTCCAGTGAGTCCGAGGTGGGCAAGCGAAGCCATTCTGACAAGCATCATATTCAGAAAAGTCTGTCGGGAAGCTTCTGAAAAAGGTTTTCTTCTAAGCAAAAAACACAAGCCCTCTTCTTCCCTGTAACTGCCTTTCTTACTTTGGAATTCTTAAATTTAAAGAGAATAATAAATCTCCCTATAGTGACTTTAAGTCAATTGAGCCCATTTCGGTTACTCTTCGCCAGAGCATCCTGATGTACGTACGGGAGTGGTGGGGCCGTGACTCTAACAGAGACAAGGTCACTTCACAGCCCTTGAAAATGCCACTCCCACCATCCAGCACCAGTGCCAAGATCATAAGAAGTACTAGCTAACTTCATTCGGCAAAGGAACAAACAGAATTTAAGCTCAGCTTTCACAGACAGGTGGATAAATCCAATTGTAAGTAAAATACTAGGGTACTAAATAACATCCTTAACAAATAAAGCCTGCTAATTCTCAGATGAGGTTTAACATATTTAGAAAATAGAGTCTATACTAGAGCAAACAAAGGTGTCTTGTATCTGCTTCCAAGTCCCAAGCAATCTCTGTAGACTGGATCAAAGAAAGAAACACAAAGATGGGGTTCCTGTAAGCACCTCTCACAGTACCTACACCACATTTATTTGTGGTCAGGCAAACTTCCCACTCTTCTTTCCACCTCGACTTTGATCCAAAGGGTCCAGCCTCTTAAAAGGGGCAGTGGGGGAGGGCGCAAGGGATGAGAGTCAAGGAAAGAGAACAACACTTCTTTAAGTTCAGTTTTATTCATAGCGCTCAGCCCTTCAATGGTAAAATGGTCAAACTTCACAACTCATTTGGGCCATGGGACCCCGCCTGGTGCTCCCATCCACCAAGATCTTTAGATCCTACAGAGCCTTGATCTTTAGAACCTAAAGGATGGCCTCCAGGTATTTCACACAGGTCACAGAAGAGGCCTTGAGATCCCACACTATATCTGGCCAGGCACCTCGGTTGACTTCAAAATTTGAAGGTAAAATGCTCCACATTCCATTCCCAATTCTATCCCCAGAGAAAGTCAGTAGACACTTTTCATTCATTCATGAAGGGGCACCACCAATGTCTCATAACCCATTTACTGTAAGACACAACATTCACTTTAACTTCAAGGCTGCAGATGCTTGCAAACTTTGCAACTGTTTGTCCACTTGGCCTTCTGTCCGAGTCCTAAGAATAAGGATTTTTTGACCTCCAAGAAAAATCAAAGAAAACTCTACTTGCTCACTCTAGAATGAAAAGTCCAAATGTCACATTCTGACTGAGATTCTTATTGAAAGCCAAGGAATCATGCTGACTGCTCACAAAGGATTTGTTCCCTACGGATCAATTTTGATCCAAGGCAGCCCAGACACCTACAATGGCCTTCTAAAGCACAGCTTACCTTGTAATTGCTAGAATTCACCCAAGAGGTAGCAAGTCCATCCACAAGTTTATCTAACATGGTCTGGTCATGTTCAAGGTCAGCAGACTTCTGTTTGTCTGAAAAATAGTCTATAAGTTCTTGGCCAACCTGCAGTCGTTTCCCCACATCCTTCTGCAACACCTGTGCCAGGCAGGACTCCATGCGAGGCTCCATGGTGGAATTCAAATCCAGTTCCAGCAAAAGCTAGAGGGCAGTCAAGGTGACACCCTCCCAGTAAAATTACCCAGGAGGTTGCCTCTTTGTTCGCTGAAGGTTACTAAGAGTCTGTGTTTCAAAGATACAATCCGGGGAATGGCAACAATGCACCATGTGTGTCTGAAGAGCAGCTGGTAGGATATTAAAAGTCCAATTTAAATAACTAGTAGGAGATAAAGGAGTGAGTGGCAGAGTGATGTTCTACTATTGGCTCTGAAATACTTCATAATTCAGCAGTCCATTCTGAAAAGAGAAGAGAGAGACAAATCAGCACAGATAATGTAACACTCGAATGTTATAAAACATCAGATCAACCACAAAGCAATTCACTCTGCAGAATCCTTTATAATCACAAGTGGAGTGAGAAGCATGAATGCTTGGCAACCATATCAGAAGAATGTAATTATTATTTTTAATCAGGAAACATCGACGCCCAAAGCAAAGAGTCAATGAGAGTTGGTGAGTTAATGTTTATCACAACTTCCCAGCTCATAAGTGTGCCAGTAGGGAAAGCAATCTTCGTCTTCTGCTTTAGCTAGCATATTTATTTATAACTCAAATCCTGCATCCCACCAAAAACCTAACACTAACCCGTGTGGGAATCACCGGAGTAATGTAACCAACGGGCCTCACACTCAGTTTTCTGAAAAAACCAGGTGCTATAGATGGGGCAGATTCCACAGAAACACCGCTGACCCAAACGCTGCCTTGGTAACATGAATAAAGTCCCAGGCAGCGCCTTCATCAAGCTTCCAGCTCAGCAGCTGTAAGACGGGGTGAGGAGGAGCCCTTGCTGCTGCCTCCTCCTGCCCCCAACAAAGAGAGTGAAGAAAGGACAAAAGCCATCAGGATCAAATTCTGACCCTAGAATACTAGCTGACAGTGCACCATTTGGGCCTGGTATAAAATCGGGAGGTGTCAAAGTCACGTTAGGATAGGGGGAAAACGTGATATGGGAAAGGTACCAAAATCGTTTTCATCTGTCAAACTGCGCAAGCTAATCAGAAAAATGACAACTGCTGGTACAACTGTACAGATGTACTTCTTACTTCAATTTCTTCTCTCAGCTCCTTTCATTAGCCTAAGCAGACCCACATCTACCTACCTGCCTGACACTGCACTAAATAGAAATGTTTTGTACATTAACAATAAATCCCAACCCTGAGGAGTTCCAGCAGGTACATCTGAATTTATAAATTAAGCAAAACTAAAGTTCAACGCAGAGTAATTCTTCCAGCCTAAGCAAGCAATTCTTTCGCCCCATCCCTAATCTCAGCATAAAAGAGCAATGTTCTTTCTGAATTCTACAATGATATTTTTGAAACCAACAGAAATCAGTCAACAAGGATAAGCCCGAGGCACAAGATTACCCATCTACCCATCATTAGCTTTACTACTTCTAACAATGCAGCAACTGGGAGCTAGAAGGCATTCTAGAAGACTCGCTATCTCAAATAACAATCCTTCCTTAAATGAAGGAGATAGATGTGTTCCAGTCATTTCCACTGGAACTAGTCTCTCCTTCACAAGAAAGATATTCAAAAGACATCAAAGCAGCTATTACCCTTCAGAGTAATGTTTAGTCCCAACATGATATTTCCAACTCCTTAACCAGCTGACAGGCTGGATTAACGAAGATACCCATGATACAGGAAAAGAGGAGAAGCCATGAGACTCTTTCTGGGCCCAATTGAGCTTACTGTGGATAAAAAATGGCCACAAATGCTTTGCTACTCTACCCTGACCAACGCAGAGCCTTACTCCACTCCATGGACCTTGTGGGCCCTGTGACTGGCTTTGTCCAGTGGGAAACCAGCAACCACAAGGCAAGAAGAGATCTGCTAGCAAGCTCTGGAGCCTGCCCTCTGAGAAGGCTACCTGGGGACTGCCAGGCTGTAAGAAAGCTGGTCCAGCCTCCTGAGATATGAGAAGCCATGTGGAGGAGAATCAGCAAGTTCCCACTGCCAGACCAGCCAGTGCGGCCAGCTGAGACCATTCGGCCATTCGGTCACCATCTGATTGCAGCTATCCAAATAAGTATAAGGAGACCAGCAGAAAACCACCCAGCCAAGCCACAGAATTATGAGAAATCCTCCTTCACTGCTGTTTTAAGCCACCAAGTTTGCAGTGGCTTGTTATACATCACCACATAACTGGTACACTCCTTCCCCTACACATCTAGCTCATTCTCAATGGAAAGAATCACATATCATCCATTCTCTTATTTAAGGAACCCAAAATCAACAGACACTAACTAATAATAATGATGATAATAACACCATTTTTAAGCCGCGACACTAGGTGTCAGGCTGTATGCTAGATGATCTATATAAACTGTCTAATTCTCCAACCAACTCCATAAATAGCTATTAACACATTGCTATCTTACAGATGAGGAAACAGGTGAAGGAAGGGTAAGTAATTTTCCAAGTTTGTATGGCCAACAGTTTCCTTTCCCCACCTTGAAACTCCTGTTATTACACATCTGGCCTAGTTCTGTTCTGACTCAAGGAAAGGAGGTCACACTTCGTGCCTAGCTAGGAAGCACAGGGCAGAGAGCAAAGTCTCCATTCATTAAGTCAACACGGGAAAGATCCCATTTGTTCAAGTTTCTCTACTATGATTTCAAAAACCCCTATTATATAAAAGCCTCCCCTTCAGTTGGAATTGTATAAGATTCCTAATAAATGAGCACATGCTTACTGAAAGTAATTGTGCAATAAAGGCTTTGCATTCTCAAAAGGAGGTCACAAACTTATGTGGGAAACCCAAAGATAAAAAGATGCTGGAAGTTCCCTGGGCAATTAAGCAGACTGAGCAGACTGAGTCCTCTCTTTTCTCTTTTTCTTCTTAATTAAAAAAAAAAAAAAAAAAAAAAAAAAAAAAGCTGATGACATCCCTTATCCTCACTTATTCCTACTAACCTGGAATATTTTTACCTTTTCCCCATACTTTTGATCATTTTTGCCATCTATTTTTTCATAGTGTCATCAGGGAATATCACAAGGCACAAAGAATAAGACAATCTCACTCTTGACTTGACCCCCAGACATCTAGGTTCCCTCTTAAAAGCAAATAATGGCACTCATTTCCTGAGCGTTCATTTTTTTTTAAAGATTTATTTACTTATGCATACAAGAACAGGGGTACAGGCCAGAGGTGTGGGGGATTAGAGGATTCACCAGAGACACAGTGGGAAGCAGAACAGGCAGACTGATTGAAATACACTGCTGAGGGGAGCAGTGGGTGAGACAGGAGAGGTCTGCTGTGCCATGTGGGTAGCTCCCAGGCTGGTGATCAAACTCGTGCTGCAATGGCTGCAGATAGCTTCATAGGTTGCTTCTTAACCCCTTGCACCAACAGGGAGTCCCCTTCCCGAGCATTCTTTCAGAGTATTTTTAGCTATCCAACAACCAAGTGCATGCTCCCCCTATAGCCCTCAGGAGTTGTTCCCTAAGATGAACAACTAACTCAGAAAGAGAAATCAAAAGCAAACCAGCAAAAAATACAAGTAAAAGCTCATATAGCAAGAGTTATATTAAAAATTTCATATTTAAAAACACATAAAGAAAATAAACAAGAAGCGGACTTGGAGGACTTGGAATAGGAACAAGGAAGAGGACTTGATGGGGGAAGACCTAAAACTGTCTTCACCCACATCCCACCCAGCCTCTCTAAGGAAGACTGCATCAAGGAAAGTGAGGGCTGAAGTTAACCTGGAACCTGCAGTCACAGTCTTGTCATGTATAAAGCATTATAAAGGCATAGACACAGAATAAACAGGAGTCAGTCCCTGCCTGCAGTGAGCGTACAGACTAGTACAGGGCATGCTTACAATCCCAGCTTCAATTCTGCAACCATCATTGAAAAGACTGGCATCACACAGAGGCGTATCTTACAGCAGCGCTAAAGAAAAATTACTCAGAAAGTAACACTATTTCTAAGTAAAAAAAATGGTTCAACTTTCACAAATTTTCCAAAATAATAAGAGAACTATTAAAAAATGTACAGGTACATCTTGAAGATATGATTCCTAACCAAACTGACAGGTTTGGTTCCTACAATAAAGCTAGTCTAATATAGCATCACAATACTGCTAGTCACACTTTTTTTTATTTGTTTCCCTGTAGGTATAAAAGTTATGATTATACTATACTATAACCTATTAAGTGCACAATAGCATATGTCTAAAAAACAATGAACATAATTTCAACATACTTTATAGCTAGAAAATGCTAACTGCCATCTGAGCCTTCAACTCCTAACTTTTGTGCCACAAAACTTCAACTTGTGAAAAACATATTATCTGTGAAGCACAATAAAGCAAAGTGCACTAAAACTAGGTATGCATGTAGAAGAAACAGTAGATGAGGTTAGAATATCCAGCATCCTTTCTCTTTTTTTTAAGTTTCTACCTTTTGGTTACTTTCACCTGTTTCACCCATCCCCACTACCTCTAGTAACCACAATTTGTTTTCTATATGAGTTTGATTTCTTTTCAGATTTCACATGCAAGTGAAATCATATAGTATTTGTTTTTTTCTCATCATTTGCTTAGCACGATGCCTTCAAGGTCCATCCATGTTGACACAAATGGCAGGGCTTCCTTCTTTTTATGGCTAATATTCCTATACATGTGTTTCCAAATTTTCTCTCTTTTTTTCATGCTTTCCTACTCCAGGAGCCACACTTCTTTATCCATTCATCCACAGATGAAAACTTCAATTGCTTCCATGTCTTGGCTATTAGAAATAATGCTGTAATGAACATGGGGGTGCGGTACCTTTTTGACAAGTGTTTTCATTTCCTTTGAATAAATACCCAGAAATGGAATTGATGGACCCTAGAGCAGAGACATGATCAATTTTTGAGGAACCTTCATACTATTTTCTATAGTGACTATACCAATTTACATTCCCAAAAAGCACACCAGAGTTCCCTTTCTCCATATCCTTGTCAACATTTGTTATTTTTTGTCTCTTATTAACAGCTATTCTTACAAGTATGAGGCGCTATCTCGCTGTGATTTTGATTTGTATTTCCCTGACAATTAGTTTTGTTGAGCACCTCTGCTCTTCTTATCAGGCTACTATTCTCCTTTAGCAAGATTTCACTCTGAAAGTTATGAAGCACACTGAATGTAGCTGCACTGCTACAGGGTAGAAGGAGGGGCATCTCAGGACCCCAAAACCTGCCTGCTCCAAACAGGTTCTGCCATCTGTCGCATCAAGATAAAACATACT